TTTTTTTTTTTTTTTTTTTTTTTTGTAATTTTGACTCACGTGTAAAAAGAAAAAAACTTATTCAGATAAATTGCCTAATATTAATTAAATAAGTTTGGGACACTCTAAAATTCATATAGTAGTTAAATTAACGTAAATATCCGTGTAGATTTAGATTTGAGATCCTAGATGGTTCTTAATAATCATAAGATTAAAATGTGTAGACTTCAACAATAATTAGCATGTATTCTTGTGATGCCCGAGTAGAAATAGTATATGAACGAACCAATACCACATTTTAATATAAGTGATTCAATTGATAGAATGGTTGAAAAAGATTTATAGACAATGTGCATCTTCGTTGTCGGGAACTTTTAGAAATAAACATGCTTTCTTTGGATCAATTTTATGTTAAGTGACCTTCTAGAAGTTTTTTCTAAAAAAAACATGCTAAAATCACCCAAATTTATAAATGACAAGTAATAACACAATCATATTACAAGAGAACGATGGAATCATCAAAACAATAAATTAAAAATAATTTAGCATGCATTTAAACAAAATACAAAATTCATGAATATATATATATATATATATATATTTTAGTTCAGAATGTATTAATTGAGTTCAAACCATCCAAATTTATAAATTTTTTATATCGATAATATATATTTTAATAGATTAAATTAGTTAAATTAAGATTGTTGCGGTCAAATTGAAATTGTGTTGTGTTGCATGAGATGGTACCATGGATAGAGTAATAATTGAAAGATTGAAGGATGTTAAAGAAATTTTTTTAAGTTTAAGGATATTTTTAAAATATTATTAAAAGTTGAATGATATTTTAGAAATAAATTAAAACCGTCTCAATGTAGCTGTAAGCATATTTTTTTATAATTTTTTTTGAAAGATTAAATTTAAGAATATTTTTTTAAGATAAACTTTTATGAGTATTTTTATTAATTTATTTGAAGGAAAAAAAAAATAGTAGTAGAAGGGAAAGCTGGAAAAAGATTACATAGGGATTAAGATTAATCAAAATAATAATAATAATAATGATGGAGAATTCATAATTGTATTAACTAATAACAATGGGAAATCAAATGGCCGCCATAAACAAAACAAAGTGCATCATTTTGTTTGATTGCTTCCAATCAAAATCTCTCCCCAGATGTTGGAAACACTAATATTTAGAGCTTGGGATGTTTTTTTTCTTTTTAATTTTTTTTTTATTGCAATTAATTTACCCCACCTAGAAAATCACTGAAAATCAGCACCTGTTCTCCGGTCTGAATCCGCCATTGTTGGCCCTCCTTCCTTCCTCAATCAGCGCCGCCCTCGCCGATCCAATTCCAGTCGGAAATAAACAAGCGTCAAAGGCAAAGCAATCGATCCAATCCTTCAGAAGCTCCTCTTGTCCCCATATCTCCGGTATCCAAACCCGACCGGCTACCTCCCGCCGATGCCTCTTCAGCCTCTCCCGTCCACCTTCCTCCTCCTCCGACGCCGCCGCCGCAGGTACCTCCACTGCCACTCCATCGTCCTCCTTCACGTCCGATTCCGAGCGTTTTCCTCCGCCGAAACTCGAAACCAGACATCGTAATTCCTGTTCGATTCCGCCGTTTCGAGCAGGCGGAGGCGGAGAAAGGGAGTACTGAAGACAAGAACCGGCGCCTTGAAAATCCATCTCCCGCGAACTCGTTCGAACCTCTGCCCTCATGCAAAAATTAAAAAAAAAAACGCTCGAACTGGCTCGAACCCCGTTGGCTATGGAAGAGGAAGAAGAATAATTAGTTAAATGGATTGAACAGAGAAAGAAAGCGACAGAGTATGTGTGGGAGAAGAAGAAGAAGAAGAAGAAGAAGAAGGATTTGTGGTTTTGGGTTTGATTGGGAAGTGGCAATTTGAAGGAAAATGAAATGGGAGAATTTTCAGAGGAAAAGGGCAAAAAAAAAAAAAAAAAAAAAAAAAAAAAAAAA